CGAGGCCCCGCCTCGCGCTGTCCCATGCAGGAAGTGCATCAAGCGCGGCACGTCCGACGATGAGTCAGAAGGGTAGGGGGCCACTGCGAGGTGCGGGGCGCTTGAGCGCCGGCCCGCTCTCCTTCGCAGCATGCACCCAGCAGCGTCGATAAAGAAACGATTCTTGCTCGGGGTCGGGTGGTCGGGATTGCAGTCCACATTCTGGGACGGAGCATCCGCAGGTTGTGCAGGTCATGTGGTCATAATGTGAAGGCAATGGTGGAGGTGGTCGAGAGTGTGCTTCGTGACCATTTTGGCTCTAGCACTCCTCGCTCCCTCTGCCAGGTTTTGTCTTTCCCCGCCCGCCCACTCCATCAGAGGGTGGAACGAGGTGTGGGGCGCTTGAGCGCCGGCCCGCTTTCCTTCGCAGCATGCACCCAGCAGCGTCGATGAGAGAAACGATTCTTGCTCGGGGTCGGGTGGCCGGGATTGCAGTCCACATTATGATGGTGCTGATGGTGATGATGGTGATGATGATGATGATGATGATGATGATGATGATGATGATGGATGCTGAGGAGGAGGAGGAAGAGGAGGAAGGAGGAGAGGAGGAGGAGGAGGAGAGGAGGAGGAGGAGGAGGAGGAGAAGGAGGAGTGGAGGAGTAGGAGGAGGAGGAGGAGTGGAGGAGGAGGAGGAGGAGGAGGAGGAGGAGGAGGAGGAGGAGGAGGAGGAGGAGGAGGAGGAGGAACAGCAGAGGGAGGGGGGGAGGAGGGCAGAAGGGCAGAAGGACGAGCAGGAGTCGGAGGTTGGGGGGGGTGAGATCGCAATGGGCGGAGAGGCCCCCGCCGGGAAGTGTCGTGCGTGCGAGCGAGGCGAAGCTGCGTGGGTGCGCGGAATGATGCCGCCGTGGCTTTGGGCTGTGGAGCCGGTTGTCCGCCCCCCCCCCCCCCCCCAGCGCACGGTGGCCGGGGGTGTCCCGTCGGTCGGTTGCGCGTCGGTGTCCCGTCGGGTGGGGGTGCCCTGTCGGCGGCGCGGCCCCGCCGGTGGCGCGGTGTGTCCCGATGGTTGCTCCAGGTGTCCTGCGGTGGTGTCTCGATGGTAGATCGTGGGATCTGTTGTGGGATCGATAGTGAGATCTATTGCGATCGTGATCGGGATATCGATCGTGACATCGAGAGATCGATCGTGAGATCGAGTCTGGGATCGATCACAAAAGATCTTGGGCTGGGGTTGCCCCGCCGTGGTTGGGGGTGCTCCATGGTGGTGTTCCGATGGTGTGTCCTGAGATCACTGGTGAGATCGATATTGCGATCGATGGTGAGATCGATAGTGAGATCGACAGTGTGATCGATATCGAGAGTGATAGGGAGATCGATGGTGAGACCGATTGTGAAATTCGATGTGAGATCTATCGTGAGATCTGGTGTGAGATCGACAGTGAGATCGATTGTGAGATCTGTTGTGATATCGATCAAGAGATTGATAGTGAGATCGATCACAACGAGCGTCATCGTTCAATCACGCCTTCTCATCGCCATCACAGTCATCACAGTTTTTGTCAGTGGGTTTTCCTTCCCCCCTACCTCCTTATCTCCCAGAGGGTGATCGTATAGATAGGCGGAGGAGGAATAGGATGACGAGGAGTAGGAGGATGAAGAGGAAAAGGATGAGGAGGAGGGCGAGCAGGAAGGCCAGAAGCCTTTTTGATGCCACTCGGAGTCTCTTCGGATCTCTCTTGAGAGCTTCTTGGAGTCCTCTTGTGGCGTCTTGGGGGCCTCTTGGCGGGCCTCTTGGAGCGTCTTGGGTGTCTCGAGGGAGCCTCTTGGGTTTTTTTAGGGGGTCCCTTGGGAGCCTCTTGGGAACCTCTTGGTGGCCGCTCGGGGCCTCCTGGGCGCCTCTCGAGGCCCTCTTTTGGGGCACTCTTGGGAGCCTCAGGGGCCATCTTGGGGTCATTTTGGAGGAGTTCGACCCAACAAAGGGGGGGGGGAGCACGTACTTGGTGCCCTTGCTCCCCCAGGAGGCAAAACTTAGGCCCAACCTTCATGACAATCAATGATCGGAGGTCGGGGGATGAGATCGCAGTTGAACGGAGAGCCCCCGTCGGTGTCCCGTCGGGTGCCCCTCGGTGTTCCTTGTCCTGGAGCAGGGCGGCGCGAGTCAGTGTCCCGGAGCAAGGCGGTGAGATCGATAGTGAGATCGTTTGGGAGATCGACAGTGAGATCCGCTGTGAGATCGATGGTGACATCTGTTTTGAGATCGATGGTGAGATCGCTTGTGAGACTATAGTGAGATCGACAGCGAGACTGATCATGAGATGGATTGTGAGATCAATTGGGATATCGATTGTGAGACTGATAGTGAGAAGTGTTGTGGCATCGATAGTGGAAAGTGATATCGATAGTGAGCTCGATTGTCATATCGACGGTGAAATCCATTGGGATATCGATAACCCGATCTGCTGTAATATCGATCGCGACCAGCATCACCATCACTCGTCGTCACCAACCCGAGGGCTCATCACTGGCATCGTCCTCGTCACAATCACCAATATTGCCATGAGTTGGTTCTTTTCTTCTCCTAACCTTCTTATCACCCGAAGGGTGGTCCTATAGGTATTTTCCTTTTCGCCGCTGCTCTTTTGGACGCTCTAATCGGTGGCGGGCCCCCCCGTCCAGGTCCAGGGAAGCGGGTATGTGGAGGGGTCAAGACTCCCTCCCCGCCCGCAAGCCGTCTCGCTCACTCCCACCCACCCTCCCAACACATACGTAGCACCCGAGTCTGACCCGAGCCTCAGCATATTCAGCAGTCGTCTATGGATGGGCAGCTACTGGGGGGTCAATCCGCCGCCGCCGCCGCCGCCGCCGCCGCCGCCGCCGCTGCCCGCTGCCGCTGCCACCGCCGCCACCGCGCCGCCGCCGCCGCGCCGCGCCGCCCGCCGCCGCCGCCCGCCGCCGCCGGCGCCCCCGCTGCCAAATCGCCGCCTCCGCAGCTGCTGCCGCCACCGCCACCGCTGCCGCCGTCGCCCGCTTCCGCCGCCGTCGCCGCAGCGCCGCCGCCGCCGCTGCCCCCGCCGCACCCGCCGCCGCCGCCGCAGCCGCCGCAGCCGCCGCCGCCGCACCCGCCGCAGCCGCCGCAGCCGCCGCCGCCGCCAAATGTACTCTGAATTGTTTTTTGACAGCGATGGTGGGGGGAGGCCGCGTCGGGTAGGCTGCGTATGCTCCGAATTCGGAGGCACAGTGTGTTTTGTATGGTTTGTTACAGGGGATGGTGGGGGGTGCCCGCATGGTTCTGGGTTGGCTGCCAGTGGCCTGGGGGGAGGGGGTGTTTATCAATGGGGAACAGTGATCAAGACACCCTCCCCGCCCACAAGCCGTCTCGCTCATCCTCACCCGCCCTCCCAACACATAAGCAGCACCCCAGTCGCAGCATGTTCAGCGGTCGTCTTTAGATAGGCAGCTGCGGGGAAACGAAACAGACCCGATGTGCGTGCGCGACGCTGGGGCGAGGTGCGCCACGCGTGGTAGGCGCGCCACGCGCGCCAGGTGCGCCAGGCACCCCCGTGGGCCAAGCGTGCTGGGGTGCGCCAGGTAAGCCCCGTGCTCCACGTGCACCATAGGTACCGCATACTCCAGCCGCGCCAGGTGCGCCATGTTCGGGGCACGCGCGCAAGTGAGAGTACACATCGGGAAACATGGCGGCCATCACCACCCTTGTCGAAAACCACTGCGCAATCGCGGCGGGGTGACCATCATAGTGCCTGGTGAGCCTGCACACAGCAGGCAACATGCCAGCACTTCCGCCGTCCCTGTCAAAAACCAAAGCGAAGTGATTGCGGGGTGCCCGCGCATGATCCCGATTTTTCCGCGAAGCGGTTTTGACATGGATGAGACCCTGCGCACAGCAGTCCATATGCGGGCACCCCCGCCGTCCCTGACACAAATAATGACAAATGCTCGAGCCCCCGAGGTTGACCCAATATTTTGCCACAAATTGCACTTCGCATTAATCTTTAACAGGGATGGTGGGGGAGTGGGTGGGCGTGGGTCATTGTGAGCTGCCAGCTGCCTTGGGGAGGTGTGTATATTTTTAAAATGGGGAACAGTGATGAATTTCTCTTCGAAGGGGAAGAAGGGCGGTTGGAAGGGGAAACGCTCTAAACCACTCACGCCCTTAGGGGCTGGTGGGATTTCGCCACGTTGTGACGCGTTGCCGCCTCAATGCCGCCGCATTGCCGCCTCGTGCGCTGGGTGGGTCCAGCGAGGTTTCGCCACGTTGCCGCCCGTTGCCGCCTCGTTGCCGCCTCGTGCGCTGGGCGGCAACGTGGCGATGTTTCGCCACGTTGCCGCCTCATGCGCTGGGTGGGTCCAGCGAGGTTTCGCCGCCTCTGTTCGTTGCCGCCTCGTTGCTGGCTCCAGCTTGCAATGTGTATACTCCGCCACACAACCGGCACCACACAGCCTGTGCATTCACGGAGCAAAGACTTGGTGTTTGCGGTCCGCGCTGGCGACCTCTCCTCTGTCGAGGAGAGGTATTTGTGCGTTCGTCCGCTCGAACGCCAGCGGGCGCCCGACACGCGGGACTGGCACCGAGAGGACTCCGGGCGAGAGCGCGTGGGGCCCGCCCAGCGGGAGACGTCCACGACGCGCCCACGGGCGGGCACCGAGCGCACACACGGGGAGCCCTCCCGGCACGGGGCGCCCACGGGGCGCCCACCGGCGGGCACCTGGGAGGGCACAGGGCGAAGGCTCGAGGCACGCTCCGATTGACTCAGAGAAGCGGAGTGAGGGCCCCTTTGTTTTGCAACTTGGCATCGCTCGGACGTGTGCAGTTTTCCTTCGGCGAGGACCATCGAGGAACATCCTTGATCATTTGGCGAAACAGCCTCGCACGATAAAAAAACATAGGGAATGGACGTCCGAGCGATGGCAAGGCAAGCACTGTCTAGGGAACGTTCAACCTGGGCACCTCTGCGGACGTAGGGACGCTTCTCAACGTGTTTTGAAGGCACGGTGGCGGATAGAGATGATCAGCAGGAGGCGAGCTATTTTATTTGGCTGAACCGGATGTTTACCGCTGTGTTCAGCTTTGAAATCAGCTTGCGTATTGTGGCGGAAGAGGCGAACTTCTTCCGGTGCTCCAACAGGTGCTTCGGCTGGAACATGTTTGACACCTGCATTGTAGCTTCCTCGTTGGTTGAGGAGGTCGCGCAGCTCTTCTCGTCCACCAGGCGATCGAACATATCCTCCCTGCGTGTTGTGCGAGTCCTCCGTCTCGTCAGAGCGTTGCGAATCATCAGAATGCTGCGGTTCTTTCGCGAGCTGCGGATCATGGTATCTGGGATAATCAATTGTGGCAAGTCTGTTTTGTGGGCGTCTCTGCTGATCGTGATCATGACCTACACTTTCGCTGTGGTGTTCCTTCAGATCACGGCCTCGTGGCTCGAGGAGGAGAACCTGGTCGCAGTGGACTGCGAGCAGACCGTCGGGGGAGCCTGCCACATCCGGTCGACGTTCTCGTCTTTGCTCTGGGGCATGTACACGCTCTTCAAGGCGATGTCTGGTGGGTCCTCCTGGGGGGAGGTCTCCGATCCGCTCTCGAAGATCCACCCTGTCGTCACGCTGACCTTCTGCGTGTACATCATGCTAGCGGTGTTCGTTGTCTTGAACGTAATCCCAGTGCGCTGCCACGCGCATCCGCCACCGCGCTGGGGAGCGTCTGGGGGAGGGGGGGACGTGAGGGGCGGAAGGGGGACTGGGGGGGGATGCCAAGGAACTCCCGCCGAGACCTCCGATATTTACATTGTCCTGCCCTGGTGCACAGCAAGGCAACACAGAAGGGACGTGCTGTGAAAATCGTGCATTTTGGGTTCGATGCGTCTTGGGCCCTAGCTACAAGTGCTTTGCAAGGGCGAGACATACGAGAAACAACCTCAGGTCCTCGCACACTTGGACTGTCAATACAAAATACGTTCAACTGTGCGTCTATGTCACCAGCCAGCTTGTCGCATTGCAGCCTTTTGTATAGTGCAGTGGCGGATCACCGCTATTTTCGTGGACGCAGCGGCTCGGGTGTCAGACGACGAGGCGACGAAGATAATGGAGAATATTCAAAGGAAGTCCGTCTGGATCCGGAACGCGAAGGAGCTTTGGAGTCGGCTTGGGGTCTGAGGTGGCCCAGCACTGTCTCTGGCCAGCAGAAAGGGGGAAGGGAGCCTTTTTCGTCCTTTCTGGACCTCCTGGGGGTTTCTCGTCGCCACGGCTGGACGCGGCTTGAAACCTTATGTATGCGTTTGGATCTCGGGAGGGGTCTGGGGACCGATTTTGATTGGATTTGGCTTCGTGCCTCTCTCTTGATTGATTTTTCTGGGGGTCCATCCAACGCAGAACTCCGGCCGCCTCCATAAGGAGCTGTTCAAGGTCTTGGATACCCGACAGGAGGGCTGGCTGGAGTGGAAGGACATCAACAGGCTCGTGACAGACGAAAGATGTCAGGCCTGCCTGCAGGAATTTGGGCTCGATCTGGACTTCCAGAGCACGCAGGTTTTGTTCAGCCTCTTCGACAGTCAGGGCAATGGCGTGATCCACCAGGACCAGTTTGCCAGGACACTCTACCGTCTCCATGGGAACGCCAGGAGCCTTGATCTGGCTCGTATACATAGCACTGTGGCGAGCATGAACAGGAGCCTCAGGGAAATGAACAAACGAGTTGACGCGATGGGCAACGTGATGGGCCTCGCATCGAATCGCTCACCATCGTCCGAGATCTTGTCGCAGATCCCTCATACTTTGGAGACCCCACTGCGAACACACGCTTCGCCAAGCGCCCGAAGATGTAAGAGTCGGCGGATACGCTGGCCGTCTGAGGGCACTGTGTGAATTCATTTTCGAATTAAATTGTGATGATTCATCCCAGCGCGTGGTTGCGACCCACTATGTGCTGCGAGTACTGCGATAAGTGTAGAACGTTTGGCACGATTTGTCTGGCCATCACCTCACGTTTGGTTCTCCGATTGTGATTTTGATTGTGTGTGGATGATATCACAAAAGTGTCTCGACTGATTTTCGATTCTGCCCTCATCGTGGCGTGATTGGATGTTGTTTTGGTAGTATGTTGCCTCGGTCGTTTTTTGTGACGTCGTTTCGACGGTACTCCGATGCTTTAGTTAGTGTAGCTGCTGAAGCCAGTAGTAATTAAGCAGACATATTCGCTTAAGGTCAAACCAACAGTGAAACTGCATCTAAGGCCAAAGCTGAGCGCAGTGATATATTTGAAGCTGACGCTGGATCTGAAAGTAAAGCTAGCGCCAAAGCCAAAGCCAACGCCAAACGGCTTGCAGCCGAAGCCAGCGCCAGGGACCCGACCGAAGCTGCTTGTCCTCTGTTGTCGCGGCGACGCGGACGTCCAGCCGCCCCACCAGAGCCCATTTCGATCCGATCGATCCGCTCCTATGTCGATTTTGGCCAGGTCGATCGGATTCGAGTCCGATACCGTCGATATCGATTCCTGCCAGGTCGGCCCGACTCGATATTCATTTCGGATAGGTTTTCGATTCGATTTCGATTTCCTGGGCGATCCGAGGCGGCCCGATGCTTGCATGTCGCTGTTGTGCATCCTGGTGCAGCCGATCCGCTTCGTTTTTTTTGGGCTCCGTGCCAGTGCCGCCCGATCCGGCGTACGTTCCGAGTCGATCAGATTTCCCGATGCGATGCTGGCCGATCCTGCCCCCATCTGGCGAGGCACAGCCGTCGGATGGCATCCCGAAGCTGGGAAGCCGCCGAGAACCAACGAAAACGCCCAGAAGCCCCCAACCCGTAGACCTCATCTCCCCCCCCAGCCTTAACCCCTGGCGCTCTCCCTCCCCTGCCTGCTTCTTCTGCACGCCGGCCATGCCGAGTTGAGCTGAAGGGGCGCTGCGCTGCCCGCGTCATGCCGAGCTGGAGGCCCCGCGCTGGCCTGGCAGGTTAGCCTTCCCCCGGCGCCGCCGTGCGCGCCCGGAGAGGGTGCACACACCGCCCCGGCGGAGTCCTTTTCGACCCGACCGATGGGGTGCGGCATCGATTCCGCCGGTCCGACCCAGAGATCCGAGGCTCCGCAAAAGCTGGAGCGGTTGATTTTTTGCCGTTGTCGGCCTCCGGGGGCCCTCAGCGGGCCTCGGGGCGGCCAAACATCGACTCAGGGTGAGAAACCAGCCGTAGGGAAGGAGGATCCCTCTTGCTTCCGGTGTTCCGTCGATCCAGTGGGGCCCGATGATTGCGCAGCTCTGCTGTGCATCCTGGCGCATCCGATTTATTTCAGGAGGGAAAGAAACACACAAACACAATTAATCGTCGACTCCCAGGAAAATATGCAATTACGCTACCGAGGAACCCCACATACCTATTTTATTTCCCATTTGTACCATTGGTGCTTCTGCTGCTGCTCCTCCTTCTCCTCCTCGGTGTCCTCCTCCTGCTGCTTCTGCTGCTGCTGCGTCTGCTGCTGCAGCTGCTGCTGCTGCTGCTGCCGCTGCTGCTGCCCCACCTCCCCGTCCTCCTCCTCAAAGGGCCCTCACCCCCAGCGCACCCCCTGTGGCGTCGAGGAAATGCCACGCCTGCCACGCCCTGCGAGCCTGTAGCGCATAGGGCCCCCGCCCCCAGCGTACCCCCTGTGGCGTCGAGGAAATGCCACGCCTGCCACGCCCTGGGAGCCAGGTGTCGAGAATCTGCCATGCCTGTTGTGCCCTGGACGACCGTCACGGATAGCAGCTGCGATGAGAGATCACCCCCTGCGCCCCCCCTCTGAATTCGAGAATATGCCGTGCCTGCTGTGCCCTGGACGACCGTCACCGATAGCAGCCGCGATGAGAGACCACCCCCTGCGCACCCCCTATGGTGTCGAGAATATGCCATGCCTGCTGTGCCCTGGACGACCGTCACGGATAGCGGCCGCGGTGAGAGACCACCCCTTGCGCACCCCCTTATGGTGTCGAGAATCTGCCATGCCTGCTGTGCCCTGGACGACCGTCACGGATAGCGGCCGCGGTGAGAGACCACCCCCTGCGCACCCCCTATGTGTCGAGAATCTGCCATGCCTGCTGTGCCCTGGACGACCGTCACGGATAGCGGCCGCGGTGAGAAACCACCCGCAGCGCACCCCTTATGGTGTCGAGAAAATGCAATGTCGGCTGTCCCCTGGACGACCGTCACGCATAGATAGAGGCCGCGCTGAG